TGTGAAGTGAATGACCAATTTTATTTGAGGGATTGTTGGCCAGAACACTGGGAGAACCTTTCTTCTATTTTCAAAGAGAGCATACGATCCAAAACTCACCAGATTAGGCAGACCGGACAACATCAGTCTCGGGTTAACACCACATCCAAAGGGCGATACTTCAGACAATGCAGTGCTCCCTCAACATGACACTGAACTGTCATCCTAGACTATAATATCAAACTTCCAACATAATGGCTTGATTCAAATCCTTCTGACTCAACAACAACTTGCATTTATATAGCGCCCCCCACGCAGGGTAGCATCCCAGAGCGCTTGACAGTGGAGGAGCACAACGCCGAGCTTGGTGGGGGAACGAGAGGTGACCAAAATCACGGTCAAAGAGGAAGATCTTCAGGTGCAACCTGAAGATGCAACCTGAAGATGGGGAAGGAAGGGGCAAGACAGAGGGATAGAGGAAGAGTTCCAGAGGTTCGGTGTGTAGTGGCTGAAAGTGCGGCCACTGATGGTGGAACGGTGGGCATGAGGGACATACAGAAGACCAGAGCCAGTTGAGCAGAGCGGTTAGTGGGTTGGGAGTAAGCATGTTGGAGAGGAATGGAGGTGCCAGGGCACGAAGGGATTTGAAAACGAATGTGACGTCTTAAAATTGATCCATTTGACGATAGGGAGACTCAGATGGAGAATAGTACCAATTGAGCCAGTCTAACACCTGAAAGTTTGTTTTTTAAAAAAGTACATTTAAAGATTTACAGAAAACCTTTTCAAAGAGAGGAATAATCCCTCACCCCATTTGGAAATCTTTCACTTTACCATTCGTGGGCACAGAATCAAGTTCAGAATGGAAGAGTTGAATCGACTACTTAATTTACCTACTTTACAGAAAGTAGGAATATGTATGTGGAGCTGGCTAATTGAGCAAGGCAGTGTATTCAAGCTGAAGAAGGAGCTGGATAGTTTTAAGTATTCTTTGACCTTTGGGACAACCAAATAAAAAGCTTTTTTTCCCAGTCTATATTCATACCCATCTTATGGCAGGATCTGTACTATTATTATTATTATTTTCAGATTCACAGCATTTAAACTTAAAGACGTTAGAACCAGCAACAGCACCTAACTCGCACACTAAACTGTGCACAGCTGCAAACTTCCTGCAGCTGAATGTGGACAAGACAGAACCCATACTCCTTGGCTCCCGTCAACGTCTCACTCCTGTGGATCTGAACTCCTCAACCTCCCGGGGCTCTCCCTCAGGCTCACCGAACCAGTGCGCAATCCAGGCATCCGGTTCAACCCCCAACTGTCCTTCCTTCCCCACCCGTTCCCTGACCAGGACCGCCTTCTTCTGCCACATTGCCCGTCTCCGACCGTACCTTACCCCAAATACAGTCAAAACCCTCATACATGCATTTGTCACCTCCCGTCTGGATTACTCGAACGCTGCTTTCTCCAGCTCCAATATTCCAAAAATCCAGCTCTTTCGGAACTCTGCCGCCCACATACAATAACAAGATTTCATTTATAGAGCGCCTTTCACGTTGGGAGGACGTCCCAAGGCGCTGGACAGTTGGGTCGGACCCAGACCAAACTCTGTACCGCCATCTCATTAGTTGTGGCCAAACTCCACCGACTCCCCATCACCAAAAGGATCGACTTCAAGATCCGCACAAATCCCTTCACTCCCTGACACCTCCCTACCTCTCCAACCACCTCACTCCCCAATCCATCACCCGGCGTCTCCACTTGACTGGCATCAGTCTCTTATTTGCCCCTTGCACCCTCCACTCCACCATCGATCATCTATCCGCGCGCCTCCCCCCCGATCGAAGTCAGGCTCCGCCACTGTTAAGCGCTCTGAGATGCTACCCTGTGTGGCGGGTGCTACATAAGTGCAAGTTGTTGTCGCCAATTCAGTTACATGTCCCCTCCCTCATCCAACCCACCATCAGTGGGCACGTTTTCAGCCATTTGGAGTCCTGTAGCTCAGTGCTAGAGCGTTTGCCTTGCAAACAAGAGACCCAAGTTCAATTCATGGCGGGGCAAAATGTTGGCCAAGTTTTCTTACTCCATGCGCCTCTGTTTACCTAACACTAAATAGGAACTCGGTCGTTAGTCGATTAGCGAATTGCTTTTCCAGGGATAATAATTCCTTCAAAAAACGAAATTGGTCACTTCAAACCATGACTTTTTGTGGGACACTGCTGTGCGCAATTTTCTGTTGCGGTTTTCCCACAAAATATATATACGTCAACTCACTTTACAGTATATTCTGTGAAGCACTTTGAGACATCTCAAAGACATAAGGCACTATATTAGCTATATTAAAAAATATATATTATTATTATTTTGCCCTGCTCTTTGGAACTCTATACTGGAGTCCATTTGCTTCATCCCACATCTCCATGTTTTAAAAGCTCACCTTAGGACCTATCTTTTCAACCACAATTTTGGTCACCTCCCCCCCCCCCCACACCTTTGCTCTCCCCTCTCCTCCAATCTCAGGCTCCCAGTCAGCTAGCTGTGTGGAACATTTGAGACATCCTCCCAATGTGAAAGTTGCCATATAAACCAAACGGTTATTGTTAAACATGCATTGAAATAATAATTGTTTTGCCAACCCAAATAGGTTCTCAGTTTTACTAAACCTATAATGTGTCAAAATAAAAAAAAGCTTTCTTGGGTTCTATAAATCAATCCTGATTGTTCAATTTATATGTGACAATTGTACATGTTTAAACATGATAACACTGGAATGTGTAAGACTGGGAAAGAAATCACTGCTCTGTCTCGCCAATCCCATTGTTCTCTTATCTCTCGTACCCTATCCCTCACCGCCAATGATAATCCTATCTTATTTATTGCTCTTGAAATTGTCAATAAAAGCCTTTCCGCTCAATTCCTAGACAGATTCCCATCCTCTGGATAAAGTAGTTAAATCTAAACCATGTTTACCATACTCTTCTACAAACTTGGGACTGTGGCCCCCTTATCATTAAGGTCTTGACAATAATCAAGCTGATTCTTTGAAAGTAGCAAGCCTATAGTATCCAAACTACCACTAATTTAAAATAATTGTGTAATAATACAAACATTCCACATTTGTACATGAAAAGCCTACACGAAACACATAAAGATTATCCTGAGTTTAGCGCCTCGATGGGTGATGCTTAACATTCTCACACAATAGCAAGTCAGACCAATTATGTTTAACTGCAGATGAAAGTTGGAATTGAATTGTTATGCAAACATATCGAAAATATCAAATTTTAAGACTTGACTTTATTTTGCACTGACACAACAGTTAAAATCCAGAGATATATTCAGGCTGCGGGGTTATTTGAACAGTGCTATTTCTGAAATAACTCTGCAAACACATCAATACAACTGGTTCGCCAATTTAAGATACACATAAAACGTTCAGCTCACACCGATCTGCCTCGTCGCACCTTCCAGATGAGGTGGTGGCAGTGCACACAACTTTTGTTTCACACTTGGAACATGTGTGTGCGTAACCGATTTGCTCTCAGAAAACAAAACGCATACATCTGAATGAGGAAACTAACGAAAACCCTTTTAAAAAAAGCCTTTTAAAAAAAATAAACAAAATATCTGTCAGCGTCATCCAAATCAGTGCCGACTACAGTGCATTGTTAAACAGCAAATACAGTGCAACACATCTTGAAATTGACCGCATGGTTTTGCGAACGTCGCCACCAAAATGCCGACAGATGATGTTACCCGTTGCGATGACCGAACGTGCAACACCGAAATCCACCGGGAACGCGAGACTCGCCCGAAATGGGCAAACGAGGACCCGAAATGCACCCCAGAAAGTGTTGTAGGGAGAGCGGGGAGTTACCGTGGAGCAGTGGTCGGGGCACCCACGCCGGGAGGCGACATCATCAATCAATCAATCCGTCCGCACACGGTTTGCGTGGAAGAAGGCGAGAGCTCAGCAATGAACGCTGAGACAAAACTGAACTGGAGAAGCGGTCCCAATCCTGAGGAGCACTTCCAATTGTGTGAGTGTGTGTGTGTGTGTGGGGGGTGTGGGGGGGGGGGTGTGGGGGGAGAGAAGCAGTTAGACTGGTTTCAATAGACTGCATCGGAAATGAAGAAGCCACGAGCATTTCAGCTCGAGAGCTCTCAACGCATTGAGGAGGCGAGAGAGAGGGAGAGGGGGAGAGGGGAAGAGGGAGGGAGAGAGAGGGAGAGGGAGGGGGAGAGAGAGGGAGAAGGGGAGAGGGGAAGAGGGAGGGAGAGAGAGGGAGAAGGGGAGAGAGAGGGAGAGGGGGAGAGAGAGAGAGGGGGGGAGGGGGGGGGAGGGAGGGGGGGGGAGAGGGAGGGAGGGGGGGGAGAGAGAGGGAGAGAGGGGGAGAGGGAGGGAGAGAGGGAGAGGGGGAGAGAGGGGGGAGAGAGGGAGAGATGATCAGCTGTGGGTGGATGTGAAGCCCCGTTCCGAATGTCCAGGATTGTGCGCGAACACAAAGAAACTTCCGTTTGAAATGCAAAAACATTTTCTTTTTTTTTAATATATAAAAGGCTGCGGGGGGTGACATTCGACTGAACACCGCGCACTCGAAATTCGCCATTCCCCCCCCCCACCCCCCACCCCCCCGACTGCGATTTTCGTTTCCACCAAAAATCGCATTTCACGGGGGAATAACGTGGGAAAAGGGGCTCATTGCTTTTTACACACACACACGCACACACATCACACACACAGATATATATATACATATATATACACATGATTTAAAAAAAGAGCTCCTGCCATAAAGACTAACCCCCCCCCCTCCCCCCGGAATAAAGTGTGTGATTTTCTTGTTTCAAAAAAAAGCAATTTGCACATATGTGACTCGGTGCAGCCCCTGAGGCTGAGGCAGAGCCCGGAGATCCCACGAGTATAACACACAACAGCCTCTCCCTCTCTCCCTCTCTCTCCCTCTCTGCTCTCACACCCACAACTGACAAATACACACTCCTGACCGCACACTTACCCGGGAGATCGCTGGCCGCCGAGTGTGTGTGTGTGTGTGTGCGTGTTTTTCCCGCACACGGCCGCCCAGAGCCTCTTGAAACAATTCAACGAGAGAGAAATGTCGGCCAACAAAACCGAACCGGTCAGTTCACACCAACCGCCGCCCGCGCGCCGCCATGTTCCCGGGAGGTGGGCGGTGCCACGTCGCCGGGCGAGCCGGTCGGATTGGCTGCCCGCCGCGTCAATCAGGGGCGACGACAGCCAATGGGCGGCCGGTGGAGAGTGGCGGCAGACTTGTCTTTCCATTCCACATGTTCCACTCCATTGACCTGAGACACATCAATTCTATGTGACCTTAGGTAATAATTCATTGATAATAATAATTTTGTCACTCAATCTGACTGTTTGTAGGACGCTGCTGTGCGCATACGGCTGCTGTGTTTCACCCGTAAAGTATACAGTCAATACACGTTACAGTATATTCTGTGAAGCTCTTTGAGACGTCTCGAAGATGTGATAAGGCAATATATCAAATGCAAGGATTATTATTATTATTAACCAATTGCACATTTCACAGCTCCCACTGATGTAAGCCAAAACATTGCACTGCTCTACAGAGACTGGGAGGAAGGGAGAAGAATGGGAGATTGAGGATGCCACCTGGAGTCATTGGGGTTATAGACATAGAATTTTTTGTAAAAGGGTGGTTTTCTTGATGGCATCAAAGAACAAGGTGACGGGAGTTTTGAAGAGTGTTGCAGAGAACAGACTGGCATAATGGCTGAAAATCTGGCCACCAATGGTGGGGCAAATTACTAGCAGAATGGGGTTGGCGAAGATTGCAAATGTAGGATGGGGTACCTGTCAGTAGCAGAAAATCTCAACTCCAACCACCCAAGTTACTGCTTCTGGGATTTTTGTGGATATTTCATCTCTTGAATTTTTCTTGTATAGCGAAGCCTCTCAGGGAAGCCCCTTTATGTTGTAAACCAAATCTGGGGACACACAAAAAATTTAAATCATCACAATTCCTGATCCTGATAGTACTGAAGAAGCTTGTTGGATAAATGGCTGTATTTTTCTGATGAATGCATCTGTTTTAGAATTGTATTGTTCTTGCTCAGTTTGTGGCTAAACTCAAGACAGAGCCACAATACCTCATCCGGTGACTGTCCCTGGAAATTGGGTACATATTGGGTACCCTACTTTAGCACTGTTAATAACCATAAGCCCCTAGAACCCCTCATCAAGGCAACAAACACACACTGAACAAAGGTTATCAATATTGCAATTTTATGGCAAATGCAACTTTATGTAACATGGAAATTTAAGGATTCCAGTTCTTAAATGAGGGATTTGCGTCTGGCGTAATGCAAAGCCAAAGGTAATGCAAATTCCCAAAATCTATAGCTAATCCATCTGCTCAGGTACAATCATTATCATCAAGCTGCAGGAGGCAAGTTGATTTACAGAAACTTAGTGCAAACAAATCAGTCACAGGAAGTGATCAAATACAACAGAATTTTGAAATGAGCATATACTGAATATCAAAACGTTTTTAAAAAACAATGGAGCTTTGAAATATACTTTTACTGAAAATTCTTGACTGGTAGTTCTCTGAAAAAAATTAAGTGGCTTTGAGATGCCACATGAAGGGAGCTATATAAATACAAGTTGTTGTTTTTATTACAATAATAATAATCCTTGCATTTGATATAGCGCTTTTCACGTCTTCTAGACGTCTCAAAGTGCTTCACAGAATATGCTGTAAAGTGAACTGACTGTATATTTGTGGGCGAAACGCGGCAGCCAATTGCACATAGCAGTGTCTCACAAAAAGTCATGGATTGAAAATGACCAATTTATTATTGTTTTATTTTGGAGGGATTATTATATCCTTGCATTTGATATAGCGCCTTATCACGTTGTCAAGACGTCTCAAAGCGCTTCACAGGATATACTGTAAAGTGAATTGACTATATATTTTGTGGGCGAAAATACTGCCATATTTAATTATCTGGTGATTTATTTTTATATATTTAAATATTGTAATACTTCAATAAGATTCCCCAAGTCTTCTCTTCTCCAATGTAAATATTGATGTTTCAGGAGCCTATTAATCTGAACCCTCTGCAGTGCCAATGTCTCTAAGGTAATGTAATAGAATTATACAAAGGACTGAACAGATAGGGCTGTAACAATGCTGTGTCCATATGTAACAATAGTACTTGCATTTGATATAGTGCCTTATCACATCATTGAGATGCCTCAAAGGGCTTCACAGAATGTACTGTAAAATCAATTGACTGTATATTTTGTGGGCGAAATGCGGCAGCCAATTGCACCCAGCAGTGTCCCACAAACATTTGTGGTTTGAGTGATCAAATTATTATTATTATTTTTTGGAGGGATTATTACTCCCGGAAATCAATCCACCAATCAACTAACAACAGGGTTCCTACGTACTGCTAGGTAAACAGGAAGTGAAAAAAAATCTGTAAACCAGTACTGCCAACATCAGGAATTGTGGTGAATTCAATTTTATTTATGTATCCTCTGTTTACATGTAGTGTTGTATAAAGTTCAATATCACTTCCTCTGTCTTCTACTAAATCATTTTAACTATAAATCCCAAATCTTGTTTGTTCTATTTAGTGTTACTGGATATCCACAATATTTCCAAATGATTTGCTCCTAATCCACATAATTCTACCTCCTTTATAATAATAATCCTTGCATTTAAGTGTTTTATCACGTTGTCGAAACATCTCAAAGCACTTCACAGGATTTACTGTAACGTGTAATGATATTTGCAGGTGACTGTGACAGCCACTTTACACAAAGCAATGTCCCACAAACAGCCATTAAGTTAATGACTAATTGTTATCTGGAGGATTGTTGGACAAGACACTAGGAAAACATCCTTCTCTTTCAAATAACTTCATGAAATCTTTAATATCCATCTGAACAGGCAGATGGGGCCTCAATTTAACATCTCATGCAAATGAGGGGATCTCAGGGATTTGGACCTGAACTGGGGAGTCGGGATCATGGAGGGTAGCCGAATGCTCAGTCGCAGAGGAGGATTTTGAGAGGCAAAAGAAGGCAAAAGAGGGAGCAAGGCGAAGGGGATGTGGGATGGAGTTCCATAGGGTGGGGGTAGAAAGGCTGAAGGCCTGATGGTGGGGGGTGGCGACAAGGAGCAGGTCACAGCCTGCTAAGCGAAGGGAGAGGACAGGTTGATATGGGGTTAGTCGGTCGCAGAGGTAGGGAGGGGCAAGGCATAGAGGACCTTGAAGGCGAGGACGAGGATTTTGAACTCTATTCTCTGGGGGATGGGCGGCCAGTGGAGCTGGGTGAGGGTGGGGTTGATGGGATTGTGGAGCCTGGTATGGGAGAGGACACGAGCTGCAGAGTTCTGGATGATCTGCAGCTTGTGGAGAGAAGAGTTGGGAAGACTGACAAGCAGGGAGTTGGCGTAGTCAAGCCAAGTTGTGAGCAATGTCCTGATATGGGCTTGAACCCACAATTTTGTGACTCAGAGGCAAAAGTGCTACCAATTGAGCCAGCTAACATCTTTATAGGTATTACGGTTTCACCAGAACTCCCATATCCCTGTTCTGTATATCTTTTTCCTGTCGATTGGTACCACTGACTTACCAGGATTCCTGTAGCTCAGTGGTTAGAGCTTTTGCCTCGCAAGCGAGAGACCTGGGTTTGATACCCAGCAGGGAAAAACCTTGGGCAAGTTTCCTTACTCCACACGCCTGATAATAATCCCTCAAGAAAAAAACAATAACAGTTTGGTCACTCAATCCACGACTGTTTGTGGGACACTGCTGGCCGCAACTGGCTGCTGTGTTTTACCCACAAAATATACAGTCAATTCACTTTACTGTATATTCTGTGAAGCGCTTTGAGACGTCCAAAAGACACGAAAAATGCTATATCAAATTCAAGGATTATTATTATTATTTCCTACTGTTTATTTTCCTTGTCCAATATCATCACACTACACATTTATCCACAATAAATAAAATTTGGCCCTAGATAGCCCAATGAATAACCTAACCAGATCATTTTGTATTTGGTCAGTCTGTTTGCTGTTATTTGTGATTCTACCAGTTTGATATTATGCACAACTTTAGACAGGTGTGTTTCCATCTCTATTCCAAATCAATTGTGTACAATGTGAATAGTATTAGCCTCAGAAAAATGTGATACTTAGCACCTGATAAATTGAAATCAATCGGAGCAAGAATGTTTTTTGGCTAATGCCTCTTTTTGAACCAGTGCCTATAACATATCCGAAGCTATTTTTTTAAAATCACTTAATATATTATTTACCTTGATCAATGGTCCATCTTTATTCACTCTTAAACCACTTCCCAGTTTATCCTTTCTCTTTTACTGTGGAGAAAATGTATAATTTACCAAGCTCTCACTACATTATTCTCTAACCAAGTCTCTCAGATGCTGAAAAGGTCAAACTTTCTTCCGAGTACAAATCTCCAATTTTTTTCCCAACTTCTGGCACTAAAGTACAAAATTTCAGGCATCCATTATCCCATTACTTAGCCTGACCCTTTTTTTTTAAAAAAAATGGTGTCATTTTCCCTATACCACGGTAACCTTATACTCCACACACTGACACTACTGTAGTTTAACAGATTATCTCTCAAGGCATTCTACAAAGCTGTCAACAGCAGAGAATCGCACAGGAACTGATCTGACTGAAAGCTCACATTCATTTTGTCCTCACACATGCATTCCAAAAGCTCTGAAGCTGGATGAAATCTGAAAAGAAACAGAATCTCATCTTTGCTTCCAACTTCTGATCAAAAGAACATAGAGGCAAGAACACAGCGCAAGCAATAACTAAGAAAAGCTTTAAAAAAAAGTTACTTTGTATTAGGTTCTTTTAAGCATACATGCATCTCTCTTATGAAGCACAAGCCAATGGTGCCTTTGAAAAGATTACTCTGGTGAGGTCCAGTGTGTCCACGGCAAAGTCATGTATTGAATTTTTGTTCTACTGCAAAACAAACATCTGTAAAATCGAAAACATTCAACAATAATATTTTCTTTTATCTCTTCCTTATTGGAGTAAACTTTAGGTATTTCATAATGCATTCTCTGTTTTCATTAACGTTAAGGATTGATGCAAACTTCATCCTCA